GTTCAAGTCATCTCTTGTTAATAAAGTAAACCTAAAACTTCTGACAAAAAATGATTTTGATTTTTTTTTCCTGACTACCTGTTTTTGTTTGATTTGTACAGTTCCTTTACGCTATTGCAACATCTTGCTATATGGGGCAATTTAGCTGCCTTCTATATCATCAACTGGATCTTCAGTGCCATTCCAACATCGGGAATGTATACAATAATGTTTCGCTTGTGTGGACAGCCATCTTATTGGATGACAATATTGGTAAGTTTCCATTCTCCGTTCTTTACAGTTAATTGTTCCGCGTGGCTTCCTTTTAAATATCATCACCATTGGTTTCTCAGATGTAAGTCATGTTGGATAGGTGTTTCCAGCAAGGCACCGCTATGAACCACCAAGTGGTTTGTAGAACAGTACACTGTTGTATTAGTTTAGTGGTTTCTCTTTGGTAAATTGATGGCAAGGACCTTCTTTAGGATGATACCGAACCACCGAAGAGTATACAGAGAGATGAAACACTGGTCGCTCAATAACCTTTGTATTATCCAACGGATGATTTGATTTGATTTTGATCTATCGATTGTTCTTTTATGAATCAAGAATGGAGGGCCAGGTTACTCGCTGGTCTAAAAGCCCCTACGCTTGATGCTACCTGTGGTTCATCCTTACAATGCAAAACTGATGGAAACTTTTCGTGCATTGCAGCTCATAGTTGCAGCAGGGATGGGTCCGATTCTAGCTCTGAAGTACTTCAGGTATACGTACACGCCAAGCAAAATCAATACGCTACAGCAGGCAGAACGATTGGGTGGTCCTATCCTGTCTCTTGGGAGCATTGAGCCACAACCCAGAACCATAGAAAAAGATGTTTCTCCGTTATCGATAACTCAACCCAAGAACAGAAATCCAATTTTCGAACCTCTACTATCAGATACACCAAATTCAACTAGAAGGTCTTTCGGCTCAGGTGCACCTTTCGATTTCTTTCCGTCGCAGTCCAGATTGTCTACGTCTAATTACACAAGAAATTGTAAGGACAACTGATTTGTACAATTCTTTAGCACCGTTTGATCAACACAACTTATTACTCGTGCCGTGGTTAAACTGTACTGTCAATTTTGTTGTCAATCAAGCATTGTATGTAGCAGGTATAGGCTGTCAGTATACATTCTTCAAATTCAAAGAGTAACATTTCCTTTTTGTTATGTTACTTGAGCTAGGATTGTTTTGTTTTTAACTTTTTTGGCGAGGTAAACGCGTGCCTAAATACTTACCAATAGTGGTTTTATGTTGTATTTGAAGGATATAACAATGTTGTTTTAGGCTGAAGTTATGGCTCTTCGAGAGACTTTACATTGTGCTATACAGATTCCGTCGAAACTCAGTACTATTTTACAAGATATTGGGAAAATTATTCCGTAAATTATGAATTACACATTTGATCATATTTATCTAGAAGCGACTATGGAGACGGATGGATTTGCTTGTTTAGCAACGGTGGAAACGGTCTGGGCCACGGTCCCGTTTCTCCAAATTTTTGGACCTGTCCGGACCTGCGAATTTTGTGGACCCGTCCTGAACTGCCTTGATCCGTCCCAACCTGCGGTTTCAGGACCCATTTGCCCACCCTCTACTGGTTAGTAACTACAATATTCACTTATTTGTTATAATAATTTCCAAATGTGATCTTACCTAGGTTAATTTTGATTTGTCTAGTTTTAAAATCCACCAATGATTATTTTGTAGTGTTTTTTCAGTTTGAAAAATAAATAAATTGCAAATGCAATAGATGAGTTCACAAGTTTGATGCGTCTAATTGTGTTTGCACGAACGTCAGAAAGATTGTCGACCATAAAAGTTTGTGTCTCTGCTGAGAAGTTGATCGATGAAACATTACGCGGTGGCTAAATACGTAAAATGAACCGATTTACAGGTGTCAGCCATACCTGTTACCTAATAAACTCTGTCACGAGCATTACTCATGAGCATGGCATGGGCCTTCTGTCCCTAAACCCAACAGTTTTTTAATTTACACAAAAATAAAATAAAATAGAGATTTGGACGTTCAGGCATGAAAAAGACTTGTATGAAACAAGTTTATCACATAGAGGTAACTTTTAGTTTAATAATAGTGTTATACGTAAATTTAAAATTTAGTTCATTAATACAGTGTTATAGATAAAATTTGCATTATGAGACTAACGCGCCACAATAACGACGTATTTGTTTCATGTTGCTCTTCGACAGTAGATACTGTCATTGGATTTTAGAATCCCGTAATAACAGCCAATTTGTTTCATGTAAGGGCTTGTTTGAAAGTGCTTTTAAAAATGACGAAAATCGTTTTTAATAAAAATATTTTTGAAACTAATTCCTAATAAAAATTTAAGTGAATCCTGAAAAAATACTTCAAATATTTCATGCAAAAAACACATATCTGATGCTTACAAAGTAGCCCTAAGTTGCTTTCCCAAACCAGATATGATCATTGGATTTTAGCATGGGCTGCTCCCCCGCCCCCACCCCCACTCCCACCCCGTTTATTATTTTAAGTCGTCAGTGACAAATCATGACCAAATTCGCTAGGACCATTGCATTTGCAGTTTGCACTGCACCTAGCCAGTATCCAGCAACAAACAAACCCTACCCGTCCGGCAAAGTAATATGTCTTTTCCATTTATTTTCTTGTTCTTTTTCTTTTTCCTTTAGGTACAGAGCAGAGAGAAGTTGCATGCATATTCCAAGTTCCAAAGTCCAAACAGAAGGTCATGGGTGATTTCCCTACCACCCCAGCTGTTCTTCAAACGAACCCTACTGGTACAGAGCAGAGAAAAAGTTGCATGCATATTCCAAGTTCCAAAGTCCAAACAGAAGGTCATGGGTGATTTCCCTACCACCTCAGCTGTTCATTCAGATAAGTATCCCTCCTAGGAAGCAAGTATTACATCCTTCCATCCATCATTCCCTCACTCACACTACTATTACTATTACTTTTATGAACAATGTTACTAAGATTTTCATGACGATTTGGTAATTGACTTCCTTGCTACTCACATTCATGGGTAATGATGCGGTATACGGTATACTGACAAGATAATTTCTGTGTAAAAAATTTGAACCCTTGTGACGAAGTTTGTTGTTTGTCAACCTATTTAACAAGTTTCTCATCAATGTTGTTCTAGAAACTTAGTAGCTCAATCTAACCAAGAGCAAGCTTGAATTCCAACAATCCTATATGAGAGCAACAGTGAATCAAAGTCTTCGAGTGCGGATTCGATAAATTTGTCTTCTTTTTTTTTTTTTTTTTCCTTCCTTTATTAATAAAACTTGATTTGATAAATAGATGAATTGAATTTAAATCTTTTATTTATTAGATTAGAATCAAAGTCTTCCAAGCAATGGTTGGCCGCTTCACAACTGGTAGTGGCAGCGGAGGAAGCTTGGATGGTGAGTATGGGGCCATGGGGGTTAATGGGGTTAACAGAGAATTAATGGAAATTTTGTTTTTTGGCGCTAATCCTACAAGACTTCACTACAATCGTTTAAGTCCTTTAGTCTCACGCAAAAAAAATTGTTAATTTTGTTTTACTTTCATTTGTTAATTATTTTCTTATTTAGTGTGTAAATAGTGGTATAATTCAAAATTTGTCTAACAGTTGTAAAAGATGAATAATATTTAAGTGGAGCATTTGAAAAAGTATCATGTGTTCAAATATCACAGGATGACATTTGTTTTTAAAATGGTAAAATACTATAATTGAACGATGAGCTTCAGTAAGACACTCTTGTAAGACACTACACGTTTTATTAATTCAACTGTCAATATTTTAGGTCTTCTTTTGATCATCATTTTCGACAAAAATCATCCAAATAAAAAGTAACATGATGGTTACATTAAATGGTGGTCATCTTAGTGTTTTTGTAAAGCATCACGAATATTTTCATTATCAATAATCGGATGTCTTAATGAAAATGAATTTGTCATTTTTTTTTTAAGTATGGTCTTGTTTTCAATGATGATCTATGCGTGGTGACAAAATATAGACGGTTTAAATTAAAAAAAAGTTACGTAGTGAGTTCCACAAGATGTCTCAAATTAGTTTATTTGAAGGTCCCAAATTAGGTGGAGATTGAGTTAATATTAACTTGTCACTTCGGAATAATATATGGAAGTCGTTGGTAATGGTACGAGTAGTACGTACTTTTGCATCAAGGGGAAAGGGTCTATGCCTCGTGTTGTGCATGCGACCTCAACCAAAAATAGTTGACGAATAAATCAAGGTGTCTGTAGTATTGGATTTGGAGTGATCCTGGTCAGAATTGGATTCCCTTACTTTTACCATTTTCTCAGAGTACACACTTCAACCTAATCTCCAGGAAAACGAACACTGCTGCATGCATGTCTTCCATGTAGCTAATCAAGATTTACTTTGACACCTATTAGCCCGTCAATTTCTTACACCAACACGTTAATCCGACACGAATGGTTTAACCTGTTAACGAATCGAATCACCAATTAAAAATTTGTTAAAGCATTGGACCGTAAAATTTGTTAAAGCATTGGACCGTTATTGGATCCCACTAAGAACCCGATAAAATATCATTTACTAGATCTAAATATTAAATATGACAATTTCTTGCATAACCCCTCTAAGAATCCGATAAGATATTGTTTACTAGATCTAAACATTAAGCATGATAATTTTTTACATGATCCGTTAACGAAATTGGATCGTTATCAAGTCACCTGTTAAAAATTCGTTAAGATAACGAGTTTAACACTATACGACATAAACTGTTAAGATAACGAGCATTACACAAATACACAAATACGATCCGTTTGTTGGGCCTACGAACAATGCACAAAAAAGTTCTCACGGAAAGAGTAACTATCTTAAACACGAATGATTTTCGAACCCTATTTTATCTTGGCTGATTAGGTTTGACACGCAATTGTGAATTGTAGGCAGAAAATTAAGGAAAACGGGAAGAAACCAAATTAACAAAAAAAAAACACGAAATAAAAACTGCATTGATTGATAATTCCTCTCCAAAACAGTTAAACATCAACAACATCAACTCAGCTGATACACTTGGCCTACCACTTCAGAAAACAAAAAACATCACCAAGAAAGAAATTAACAACAACGAATACTTTGAAACAAATAAACAGAAAATAATGACAACAATTAACAATGTACGCTCAATACGCGTCTGCATACGGCGTACGTACGTACGGCTGCTGAAGCATGCAATATATACAGTTGGCTTGGGAATGGGATGGATAGATACGATCATCATCCATCAATCATTTATTAATTTGGATCTCCTCCGTCCGTCCTTTGACATCACACGATGATGATCATCTAGCTTCCAAATCATCGCAGTCAGACTGTAACAAAAGTCCTTTACATCAAGAGGTCGTTAACCCAGCCAAGATCCGGATCCGAGTCACCAGCTGAGGCAAACCCTTCTCCGTTAACAATCTCCGTTTTATTAATGTGCGTATTGGTATCACGATCAAATCCCAATAAGCTTCCATTTCTTGGGGAGCAATTTTCATCCCCACCGAAAAAATTGATTCCACGTCCTCCACCTCCAAATGGTCGGCTTGTTGGGCTCGGAGTGGATGGCGAAAGAATAAACTGTTGTTGCGGCTGCAGATCGTCATCAGAAGAAGCATAATTCATGTACATATCGAATGAAACGTCGACCCACCTCTTCGGAGAAGCAGCAGCGCCTGCAGCTGCAGCTTCATTGAATTTCATGGCTTCCATGGAGCTCATGAGCTCAGCAACCACTTCTTTGGAGGTCATCAACCCACCTGTGCTTGCATGCACCTGATCCAAACCCCCCAACCCTAGCCCACCACAGCGAGACATAACTGGTGAACTATGAAAACCGCTCATCGACGAGCAGTTACCTGCTGGCGACACAGGCGGCGACAAAGGATGAGACATACCGGCCAACAGAGTCGAAGTTGGAGACGACGTCGCCGCTGCTGGATGACAGAACAAGCAGCAGTACTGTTTGTTGTTCGAACAGGAACGCGAAGACCCCACCGGTAAGTGGTTGTTCAGGTGGAACTTCTTAGAACTAGCCGTGGGAGAGAGCACCTGATCCGCCGACAGAATCCTAAGCTGACGTGGCGTATGCGCAAAGAAGCACACCTTCCTCTTGCAGTTCTTCCCGTCTTTGCAAGCCTCAGTTCTGTACCTCGCCGGGTGCAGCCAGCACTCAAACACTCCATGAGCAAACTCACAACTGTCACCGCGGCTGCATGATCCGCGGCGATAGTCAGCGCACACAGTGCCCGAGTAGTGGTGGCGACGCGGGTCCCGCCTGCGAGCCTTCTCTCCGGGATGGGCAAAAGGGCAGTCGGTCCAGTCGTGGCTGCGGCTGCGGGTGCAGCGCCGGACCTTAAACTCAAACATGCGGAAGTGGTCGGAAGAGTAGGGATCGACCTCGTCGTCGTCAGAGCCATCGGAGCCGGTGTTGTAGGGGAGGAATTTGCGGAGGAGGGCCTCGTCGGCAGATGAGAAGCGCGGGGATCCGTAGTCAGCTGCGGCGTACACGTCAGAAGAGGAAAATTCTTGGGGGCTGCGGCAGGTGAGGAGCTTCCTCGGTGGGATGTCAATGTTGGTGTCTCTGAGGAGGGTTTTCTTGCATGATAGGAGCTGGTGGGAGGGGTGGAACTTGTGCTGCTCGGCGCAAACACTACTCATTTCTGATTGATCTGATGAATGCAAATAACAATAATAATATCAATATATATACACCAGATAATTGCCTAGCCAGAGAGAGATGGTGGTGTTGATGAGAGGGGAACATGGGGGTGGATTATATAGGTGGTTGAGGGAGACAAGTTTAGTGAGAGAGATAGAGAGGGGGGGATGATCGATGACGAGGACGGAGAAAGGGGTATGGGCAGAAAGATGCGTGGCTGCATAGCATTAGGGACGAACATGCAAAAGGGTTATGTGGCAGCTTCACAGTTCACTTGGCACGCAATAGCTTGACTATGTGTTTGCTTATTGGAGCATCTCCGTTTTCTCACAGCAAGTTTTTGGGCTTAGGTTCGGAAGCCAACACCTATATTCCTATTTCATTACATGCACGTAAAGACGTGTTAAAATTGTATATGTAAATGACAAGTCATCCTACTTAGTATTACAGTTTAATAATATTTTTTATTATTTATAAGTGATAAGTCTTAGGTGCCATTCTCGTTCAAGACGAATTTGAACCATATTATTGTTAATTATTGTGAGGCTTAATCTACTCCCCACCTCTTAATGTAAATCATATTGGAAAAAAAATCGAAAAAGAAATGGGGCTCATGAATTTAAAAACACGAACAAGGGATGAGCATATCATCTACTTCCTCACCGTATAGTTGATTCAATCCTTGATTTTTTACAAAATTTTAACGAGGAATCTATTTAGGAATCTCTTTGCAAACCCTAAATCTTGACAATGACGACCTCTGCTTCTCCTTCGTCTGACTATGCATCTCAAATTCTTTCTTCTCCACTCACGAATCCAAACCCTAATATCTCAACTACTACGATTTTATAACTAAGCGGAAGACGAACAAAATTATGAGAAGTCCGAATATTTTCCCAATATTTCCTATGTATTAGACTAACACACGAAGTAAAAAATTAGGATAAATCCGCGATTCAATCCTAAAACTGCTTAGTTACAAGCGGAAAAAATTACTAAAAATACTTTTAGACTAATAAGTAGTTGGAATATCGTACTAATAAAGAAAAATAAATGACAATTTGCTCTATTAATCAAACCAATCTTGTGGATGAAATGCCCATCGCTAGGCCCAATTAGGACAATGAATACAGCCCAAGCCCAAGTTAGTTCATTTAAACAAGAAACCCGCAAAAAATAAATTTAAATAAATAGTAGCAAAAGCAAAACAACGAGAGACATTGCACCGCCATTTGAAGGGAAGGGACGATGTACAAGTCGAGGCTGCAGGAGCTCTGCCAGCAGAGGAAATGGCGGTTGCCGGAGTACAACACCACCAAGGTTGGCCTCGATCATATCCCTTGCTTCTCCGCCACCGTTACAATCAATGGCTTCGACTTCCACACTGTGGATACCTTTAGGTCCTCCAAAGAAGCCCAAAACGACGCCGCTAAACACGCCTTCGACCACCTCTCTGATCATCCGCAACCCAAACCCAGGAATCCCATTCCCGTCCCTTCCTCTTTCCCTCAACCTTGTCTTCCCTCTTCCTCCTCCACTTCCTTTTGCTCAGGTAATCGCTCGATCTGAAAAATGCCGTTGATATTAATAGGAAGTTTTTTTATTTACTGGTTTTCAGTTTTCCTTAATTTTCTAGGGTTTTTATATTTTATTTCTAAACCCGCAGAAATTTGGAATTTTTGTGAATGTTGATTAACTTTGTTAGTTAACATTTGTGTTTAATTATCTAGGATAGAATTTACATCTCTTACGAAATTCGGAACTTGTGTGAATGTTGATCAAGTTACCATTTGAGTATAATTATCCTGGAGATAATTTATGTCTCTTTCGAAATTCGGAACTAATGTTGATTAACTATGTTAGTTACCATTTGTGTTTAAGTATCTAGGAGATAATTTATGCCTCATTCGAAATTTTTTGTGTTTGGTTATCTCAGAGATAATTTATGTCTTATTCAAAATTCGGAACTTGTGTTACCATTTGTGTTTAATTATCTTGGAGATAATTTATGTCTCATTCGAAATTCGGAACTTGTGTGAATGCTGATTAACTATGTTAATTACCATTTCTGCCTGATTATCTAGGAGATCATTTATGTCATTCGAAATTGAGTTCAATGTATTACTTTGTTTTCACATATGGGTTCTGTTATTCCAGCACTTCCTTCCACCGCGGCCGCTGATTCCAATACTACACATGAAGCACCACAAATAGTGCAACCGAAGATTCAAGAAACGCACCAGATTCCTCCGCTGCCACTTCAGTTTAGTGGTAACAAATCAGGAGCCACTCCTCAGGCAAATGCCACCTTGTTGAGTAAGATGTGTATATTCTCTGGTTTGGCACTGAGCCTTAATGTTTTATGATCGTTTCACCGAACCTTGACGTTTTGAGGATTATTTCACAAATAAAAAATATATATATATATATCTTGCAGCAGCTTTGCTTTGAACTTAATTTTTGCTGGCAACCGAGCCTATAAATAACATTTTTCATCTCAATGTTGGAGCTAGCTTGCTAAAAACTGTTGAAATCTAAACTTTAACTTATAATAGATATGCAAAACAGAAATAAGACAAGTATATAATACCTTCAATTCTTTAGCATCTGTGAATTGTCTGAACCTTGTCTTGATTACTTTAAGTCGATTTACAACTTATACTTTTCTAATATGGGGTGTAGATATACAACATTTTCACAAGAATCAACTGCAAACTTATGCACAGAAGAGAAATCTGCTTCCACCTGTGTACTCTTGTGAGCGGGAAGGTCCACCTCATAACAGTCGTTTCAAGTGTAGAGTAACTATTGGTGGACAGACATTTGAGGGTCAAGAGTTTCTTCCCACACTGAAGGATGCTGAACATGCAGCTGCAAAAGCTGCTCTAATGTCCATTCTTCCAAATGGAGTTCAAGAGGTGGAAAATTGTGTATTATATGCTCTATGTGTTTTTTGTTAAATGTGATTGTTTTGAGCATCTCTAAATATCTCTTTTGTCTTTGTTTCTTTTTCTCTTTTTCTTTCCATAGGATGATTCTGGTTTATTCAAAAACCTTTTACAAGAATTGATTCAAAAGGAAGGTTTTTCTATACCAGTCTATAGCTCAAGGATTTCTGGTAAACCTCATGTGCCAATTTTTGTTTCGTCAGTGGAGATAGAAGGAGAAACTTTTATGGGTCAAGAAGCAAGAAGCAAAAAGCAGGCAGAGTTGAGTGCAGCAAAGGTCGCTTACCATACCTTGAGAGAGCGTAAGTGTATTACTAGCTGCAAATTAGTGTTTGCCGCTGTTTATATTCTTTTTAATTTATTACGATGTTTCTCTATGGAAGTTGACGTGCTTAAGATAGTTATGTTTCTTTTGTTCTTTTTTTTTTATTAAAGTTGTGTTTGTATTTTCAATGCATTCGTTACATCAAATTTCATAAATATGTTACCTATAGTTCTTATGGATTTTTTTTTTCAATTTCATAGCTCCAAGTAACTATCCTATGAAATAGTTTTTTTTTACAAGATGTGCTTTGCAAGACCTTTTCCATTAAAAATAATATCGGATGATATGGGGAAGCAAAAGATGAATAGATCTATTGTATGCTTCACAACATTTTGAACCGTCCTCTTCAGGTAAATCAAGTCAGCTACCTTTGGTCCCGTCCTCCGCTCGGAAAGGGCAAGAAGTTTCCAAGATCTTATGTTCAAGTTTCCAGTCAAACCCAGCTGCTGAACTACATCCACAAGCCAGGCCTAACGCACCTGCGATCTTTTCTCCAAATACGAATACTAAAGAGCAGAAAAATGAGAAAAATGGTATTGTTTTCCCCGAAAACTCTTAGTCTTTTATTACCCCACTGCTATATTGTCGTTGCTTTCATATGTTTCAGAATATCTTTGTCGGGACAAAATACGTACATCAAATTAGAGTCTGCTGGTTAGCTATGAAAGTCTGATTAAACAGCTCTGATGTTTTTTTTAACTAAGCTGCCAACTCTCTGAAAGGAGCTCTGGTTTTAAGGAGAGTAACAACAACTATTCTCTTTATGCCACGAATTGAATTTGGGTTGACAGCACAAATTCTATTTAATTGTGAAAATATTAATAGTTACCTTACGCTTTAAAAATAGATAAAATCACAGCCAAGAACCAGATCCTTGAACCCATTCAGAACCCAGTAGGTTTTGTTGATGGAGGATATGGCACGCGGAAAAAGGGATTGAAGCTAAGTTGGTGAGACGACAGTCCTCTGTTCGTGAAGGCAGAGAACTTTCAGGCGTCTTTTACTATTCACATAAGGTTATAAGGCATGTTATATTTCTAGCCGCACGATTCCACTAAAACGGATTGGACGGCTGATAGTGAAGGTAGAGAATTCATGGTCTTGCATATATGTGAATACTTCACAATTGCTGCACCCTGAGTACATAAATTAGAAAGCTAATAAAAGTTAAATCCATCAGAGAAGCAAATTCCATGTGGAGTTCATAACGTGTGTGATTTATGGCAAGGGTTTTTCCTGCGTACATTAGTTAACATGTACCTGAAAGCTACAACGGAAACACTACAATTGCACTACAAAGACATTGAACGAAGGACATACCCTCTGTTGACTTTGTCGTTGACTACTTCTCACTAATGATTCAGTTTAGTAATACAAACAATCGTGCTTACAATTCTGATTGACACAAGGATAGTAAAAAAAAGTAAAGAAAACGAACCCAAACCCCAAATATTAGAGAAATTCATGGCATCACAGGCTTAACTCAGAATTTAAATAGGGTATGAACCATGAAGACGGATATGAGATGTTGATATTCAAACATCCTCCTCTCTGTTTCTTAAATTATTGTATAACTATATCTTCTTATACTACATAAATATCACAATCTTACATGTAATTGATGTTTTCATATCATCGAGCTTATCTTCTTTGATTACATTAATTGCAGAAGCAAAACGTCAACGCTTGATCACTGTATCTTCAGGACCCTGCACTCCCACGTCAGGTGGGGAAGGTTCTTCCTCTGATGTTGTACATGGCCGTGCGCAGGAGACGAACCATAGAGCTAGCCCTGTGTCTCAAAATGGCTCCACTAATTGCGTTATGGACTCTTCTCTTGAGCCACCAACTAAAAGGAGTGCGTACAACAAGGTCTCTGTTTATTCACGCAAGTTAAATATCGAATATCCTGAAGGTACCACTATGTTGCCCATGAGCGATGAAATGTGGGTTGTTTGCTCACACACATGAAGGGGGAGGTTCATATAGGCTTTACTAAGGACCTGATTCAACTATGAGAGACCCATATGCTATGCTTTCAAAGTTAAAGTGCTTATAATGTGAAGTTATGTGCTTATTATACGTTGTGTTGCTCTGTGTATGAACCCTACTCGACACTCTTTTTCTATATACAATAGCCGTTGCCTTTCTTGACTCGTGCATAAATGTGCTTTTTGTCTACGATGCATTCCTTTTGTGTTAAAATCGAGTTATGTTTGTGCTTTGGGTAAATGTGCTTGCTGTTGAAGTTGCATTTCCTTTAAACTTTGTGTGAATGCACCATAAGAAAATTGTTTTTGCTTGTCTAATGAAAACTGGAAATGAGATATTGGAGGAAATTAAATTCATTTTGCTAAGAGAAGCAAAAGAAGTTAATTTCTTCGTTTGCTTCATTGATTTTGTTGAAATTTGGATATAAACTATACTGCAGCAAAAACTGGAGGTGAGATATTGGAGGAAATTAAACCCGTTTGCTAAGCGGAGTGAAGTGACCTGGATTAATTTCCTCCAACTCTCACATACAGCCTCTCCTGATGTGCTTGGTTCAGAGCACACACAGTGACTTGCTTATAGCTGGAAAACTTCCTCCTAATCTTCAAGATGGATAAGTTTTGTGTGAAGAGGCTAAAGTACAACAGTTGTAGTTGACTGCATACCCAGCACAAAAGCATGTTCTTCCATAGTCTCCATTTCTTTTTTCTGTGTTTTTTTCTTTTCTAAAAAAATGAAAGCATAAGATTTTTTTATCCTTAAAAAAATGTACAGAGTTATGAAGGAAATGCAACTTCAACAGCAAGCACATTTATCCAAAGCACAAACATAACTCGATTTTATACTAAGGAATGCATTGTAGACAGAAAAAAGCACATTTATGCACAAGTCAAGAAGCACAACAGCTATTGTATATAGAAAAAGAGTGTCGAGAAGGGTTCATACACGGAGCAACACAACATATTGTAAGCACATAACTTCACATTTTAAGCACTTAACTTTGAAAGCATAGCGTATGGGTCTCTCATAGTTGAATCAGGTCCTTAGTAAAGCCTATATGAACCTCTCCCTTCTGCTCCTCACATGGGAGGTGTCATCTCAAAACCTTCCAACATGCTTTTTATAATGCTCATGCAGAGTTTTTCTAATCCCCTTTACGCTGCATTGTATGGTCCATTTCTTCGTAGCTTGACGTTAATCCGTTGGATCTTGTAAAACCCTTATCCAAATCCCCTAGTGATTTATCTCGCTGACTTAGGTGTCAAAAGTTTATAGCCACTAATATACAGTCAATGTCCTATGTTAGTGGCTATAATGTTCCATTCCACACTGATTACAACTCGGTGGCACAAAGAAGGGCACACATCTAGTGCTTCTTGGGATTCGTAACTCACAGTTTTGAGATTGAACTTCTAGTCTTGTTTAACTAGGTTTTTGTTAAATTACTATCAAGTTTTAGGGGTCTTCAATGAATATGCCTCGACTTCATTAATCCTTTCATGTGTGCTCGAAATATGTGAACGATATAATTGATATGTCTTACTTTTAGTGTATATTTTCAATGTATTTCAACATATATTATGACACGTGATGTATCACATTATGTTCCCAGTATACAGAAAAACAATTTCAAATGTAAGGGCTGCAAAGATATTTAGTAGAGTAGCTTTTATTCATAAATTATTAAATTATTTTATTTTCCCATTATTATTTTTCTATCTTTTGTATCATATTCATACATGCATGCACTAAAAGAATTCGAACCCTTTTCGCAGCAATCCTTTGCTTCTCTTCATAAAGTCTCAGTTGAGGCTGCCAAAAAAAAAAAAAAAAAACACGTAACAATTCAGTTCATAAAAATGTGTGTGTGTGTGTGTGAGAGAGAGAGAGAGAGAGAGAGTGAGTTACTTGGTGCAATCCATGCTATTAGAAATAGGGAAACTAAGATGAGCATTGCATTTGATGGGAAGATCTTGGATGAGGGACGCGACGAAACGAATTCGATACGCATCAGCCACGCCCTCAATGCATTCACAAATACTTTGAGGTTCAGCCTCATCACTTTTGGCCATCGTGTTCAACGTCCGGACGGAGTTACAGCATTCAAGCGTAGGGTCAGCATAAAACCCAGTAAGAAAATTCAGGCAATTGCCCAACTCATACCACACACTAACACAGAAACTGGACGCGTGCGATGCCTTGGCAGATCCACAAACTAGCAGAAACATGGCTACATAAGCCAAAAGGTGACGCGCCATCGATCGCGCGATAATAATTTGTAATTAACAAGCTAATTAAACCGGGATTAATTGTATATGATCATATGATGCTTTAGTATTAGGACATGATGTAGATATAAAAACACAAATAAAACATCATTGGGTTTAGTAATCTAAGTAAGAAACGGCACGTTGTTCAGTTAGTTTGTTGATTGCTAGTTAACAAATGACTATATGTCATGCTTCATGAATGATTTGAATATAATCTAATATAATTAATTTAGAGAATTTATTCCTCCTAACACACCCGTAAACAAGGGTGGGTAGTTATCATTTCCTTAAAACTATCATCTTTTGCCAACCCTTATATTGAAGAAAAACTTTTTTAAGACTTAACTTGAGATTAGATTATATCACTATCAACCACTTAAAATTTACCATATATTACTTAAGCTTTAAACTTTATTGCAGTGCTTTCTTTTGTAGAAGTGTGGTTGTCCAAAACCTTCCAGATGAAAGACTTGGAGATGCATCATACATACTTAGAATAAAGCTCTGTTGTGATAGATCTAGGAGACTAATAGAATTGTCCCAATCCATGTATGTAGACAAGGTGTTAAGTATTTCCACATGGAGGAATCTAAGAAAGTTTATCTTCATGTGAGATATGGAATTCACCTTTCTAAACCGATGGGACCTAAACTCCTGAGGAAGTGCAACAAATGAGTAGAATTCTTATGCTTATGCAATAGGAAGTCTCTGTGTGCCATGCTATGGACAAGATCAGATATTGCATATATTGTGAGCATTCCTAATTGATATCAATCCAACCTAGGATCAAAACACTGAGCAGCTGACATATGCATATTTCTAGTTTGAGGAAGTGCAACAAATGAGTAGAATTCTTTATGGTTATGCAATAGGAAGGCTATATAGATGCAAATTTCTAGTCTGATGTTGATGAGAGGTGGGGCCATCAGTTGGAAGATCAAGAAATAAGATGTTATTGCTATTAGCTACATTTTTTCATTGGCTAAAATCTACGATGCTCTCGTAGAAATAAAAGATAATTGTTGCTGCCACATCATAAATGTAGAATATTGAGGTTGTCCTTGCCCAACTTAGTTATGACATTCAAAAACCAAAGACTAATATATTGCCACAAAAAAACAGTTTAAGGTAGGTAAAAGTTTAAGCATCTATTGATAAAATACATAAAGCTTTTTCCTTTTATTAACTTCAAGAAAGAGTGTTGATTTTTTCATTATTTCCCTTATGTCTTACTAGCTTTATACACCACTTGAATTGAATGTTCATGTTCTCTTGCCCACGTAGATATATAGAGAAGAATTCACGGAGACTATTGAGACATATATTATTAGATAAATTGATGTTAATCCTGATGAAAATTGTGAATAAAGAAGGAACCTATCGATTGTGGTGAGATCTTAGGATGAGGAGAACACTTGTTTGACATGGTCACACAAGGCAACTTGAGATTTGTCAAGCGCAACGCTATAGGGGTGATGCAGACCTAATCAAAAGAAAGTGTTTGAGTGTTAGCAACATCCAATGGCCATCCTCTTGTAAACTCAAATGTTAAATTAATTCTCACCAATTCTTATGGATTTTGATTTTGATTTCTATTTATTGAATGGAAAGACAACATATCGGGTAGAGAAAACCTCAGAGTTGTGAACGTATGCTTTGATTTCGAGTTTTTACATTTTAAATGGGTATAAAAATAATTATACATATTGAAGTTGGTTTGTGAGGTTAGTATAGGTAGTAAATTTGAATTTAAAGAAATATTGACAGTTTAATTAATAATAATATGGGTATAAAGAAATATTGACAGGTTATATGAGCTAAATTTTCTAGTAATTTTTTTATGTTAAAAATTTGAGTTGAAAATTGTTATTTTACTTTATTATTTGGTATTTACGCATACCAAACGACGTCATTGAGCCAAACGAAACGACGCCGTTCCTCCCCTAAAAGGCAAGTGAAATAGAGCCGTTAGAAACGGCACACTCCCGAGCAGTCACATTGGCTCTTGGCCCCCAAATTCAAAAAATCAGACCGTTAGAGAGATCCTTCCCCCTACCGTTATACTCCTCTCCGCACCCACTCAGGCACACTCCAACGCTCTCTCTCTCTCTCTCTCTCCCTCCCTCCCTCCCTCCCTCTCATTTTCATCATATCTTCATTAATCGGCCAAATCTTTTCTAATTCCTCATCCTCCTCTGAATCCCCACATCCCAAACAAGTTTTTGAAATCGAGGAGAAGACCAAATGACCGATCAAGAGCCCAACGCGCCAGCGCCGACGGCGACGGCGATCATCGTCGATGACACGTACGAGTTCTTGGCTCCACGCTTCTTCGACTTCACAAAGGGCGAGAGCGACGACGATAGGCGCAAGGCCGAGCTCTGGTTCGACTGCGCTCTAGCCTATGCTCCTTCACGTACGTCGTCTTCCCTAATCCCTCTCGCTTTGTCTCTTCTCTCTCCCTCTTATTATCTGACATATTTTTAATTTCAGTTTTGGCCTTTTGCATTTTTGTGCTTTTCATATCTTTAGACCTGTATGTTTTTTGCGTCTTCTTTGTTAGGGTTTCTCTCAAATCTGTCTTTCTTGCGAGTCATTTGCTTTGGATTTTAGGGGTTTTTGCTTTTCTTCTCTGAATTGCGTTGATTTCTGTAACTCTATTGGATTTTTAGGGTTTTAATTTTCTTTTCGTGGTGAATTTTGTTCCAATTCCAAGCGTTTCTTGAAATTGAAATCGACTAGGAAGCGATTGCAGTCTGGAATCTGGATGCTTGCTTTATTTTGTGGTGTTTGATTATTGGAAAATGTCATTAGGTTGTGTTTGTTCCCAGAAGATTAAGTAGTAGGAGTAACAATTCAGTTTCTATTTGTTGAAAGCAGGAACTCCAAATTGTTGAAAGCAAGATGTTCTTTTATACTTTTTAATCTTAGGCATTTAAAGTAGTTATTGTTCAAGGGAATTAGATTTTAACTTTCCGGATTTTCGTTCTTTCTTTCCCAAATTTTCTGCAGAATTTGAATAGGTTTCTATGGTATGAACATGACTGGTAGTTTGATTTGACGGAGCAAGGGACATTCAATCTGTAGTTGTCCATTTATCACTGAAAGTGACTTTCATTTGTGCTCTTGTTTCTCTAGAATTGTAATGGGACTTGTATTTTTCTGTGCAGCCTTTATGCCTAAGATCAAGACTGGTAGATCCTTTACGATCGAGAGCATGTGTGACTTTAGCGAAGCAGAGAAAATGGAGAAGGTGGTGTATCTCATTCATTCTTTCTTGCCTTTAAAACTTAGACTTGTTTATAGCTCTCTAACTCCATGGTTGTTTATGTTTTGCAGAACTTGGAATCATCATCTGACTTAAAAGCTGATGATAAATCTATGGAAACTAAGCCTCAATCAGAGATCATGCCTGCTGAAGCCTTAACGATGACAATTGTACCAGCGGAAATGGAAGGTTAGGGGGCGCTCCTCTTACTTAAAAGCTTTGTCTCAGATCTCTTGACTCGTACTAGTTGATTAGAATATAACATTGAGCTCTACGGTTTCTCATTTATTACTTTCTGTTTTGCAGTGTTTTGGGTACAAAATCTTCTTTTAAGAAAACTGATTTAACCAACGGTAAGGAGACTAGCAAACCTATCATTCAAGTTGAAACTGTAGCTTGCAGTCCAAGTCATGATGACAAATGTACTAGTGGAAATGGAAGGTTAGGGGGGCGGTCCTCTTAAGCTTGTTTCAAGCCTCTTGACTCGTACTAGTTGATTAGACTATAACATTGAGCTCCACGGTTTCTCATTTATTACTTTCGATTTTGCAGTGTTTTGGGTGCAGTATCTTCTATTAAGAAAACTGATCTGACCAAGGGTAAGGAGAATAGTAAACCTATCATTCAAGATCAAAATGAAGCTTGCACTCCAAAACCACCCATGAGTTATTCCAAGAAGGGGGGAGGCCTTGCGAGTCATTCCAAGAAGCACCAAACAGCTAAAAAGATAGCGAGCATGGTCAGAAACCCCTCAGCACTGAAGCAAAAAAGTCACTTACAGTCATCCCAAACTAAAAGCATTAAACCAAATAGTGTGAAAAGGTTGGTGTATGTACGTTTTTACCTGATGTATGTGTTGATTTATTCTAATAGTCATGACTGATTAGCTACATAACTTAAAACTCTAGAGAAACACATGTGAAGAATGCAACTGGAACTCCCAATTTAGGACAGGAAAATCAGGCGATAAAGCGGCAGAAATTGGATGAAGGAAGATCTAGACAGGTAAAGTTTACTCCTGTACTGTTTTATTAACTTGACTGTTATTTGTAGACAACATTTACCCTAATTGTTTTCCTTTATACAGATTCTAAATCCCAAACCCCAAGCATATCCCCACAAGTCAAAACTTGGTCATATAACTTCTTCAGCTGCTGTGCGAAAAGAGGACAGAAAACTTTATGTTAGGGAACCTGCAGCACCATTTGTTTCGACGGCTGAAATGATGAAAAGGTTCCAATCAAGTACCAGAGACTTGTCATTGCCGCATATTTCACATGTAAAGCATCCATCTCCATCTGGCCCTTTAAGTTCTTTTTCATGACTCCATTTATTTCTCATGTTAATGATGAAAGGTTGATGCTGTTTTTATTATTCAGATGAAACCCAAACTCACCTTGACGAGGCCTAAGGAGCCTGAATTTGAAACATCCCAGCGTGTTCGTTCAGTGAGAGTGAAGAGTACTGCTGAGCTTGAAGAAGAGATGATGGCTAAAATTCCGAAGTTTAAGGCTCGACCATTAAACAAAAAGGTAACTTGTAATTTTATACTCTTATTTCTGTTTCATTTGCGGTCTATATCAGTTGAGTTTATTGGATCTTTGTTGCTGATTATAGATTCTAGAAGCTTCATCATTGCCTGCAATACCAAGAAGTACACCCCAGCCACCAGAATTTCACGTAAGTTACTGTGGATTGGAGGTTGATAAATAGGACATACAATGTTGTAGTGGTGATAATAAGTCTCTTGTGTCTAATTGTTGCAGGAATTCCATTTGGAGACAATGGCAAGGGCCAATCAGAGTGCAGAAACATCCTCGATAGCTTCAACCGAAGTGTCCCATCAGGTATAAGACAGAATCATATTGCTCTTTCCATTCTTTGTTCTTGCTAAGCCAGCTGAGGCATCTCATTGACAATGTTCTCTTTCTGCATTGTATGACAGAATAATCCATGGAAGCCTCGTTTAGGGTCTTTTCTTACTGAACCTAAAACCCCTGTGCTACAAACATCATTGAGGGCTCGTCCACCCTGGGTGAAAAGTTCCTTTGAAATTGAACAGGAAGAACTCGAAAGAATCCCAAAATTCAAGGCCAAGCCTCTAAATAAGAAGGTATATGTCAAGCCTTTCAATTTCTGTTTGAGATATTCATCTTGGAAACATTAGGTACTGAACTGATTTATCTAAATGTTCATTGTTCACAGATATTTGAAAGTAAAGGAGATATGGGGGTGTTCTGTAATGCCAAGAAACATGTGACCAAACCTCGGGAATTCCATTTTGCAACAAATGAAAGGATACCACCACAATCTTCGTCTGTTGTTGATCTATTTGATAAAGTAAGTGAAATGGATGTTATCAATACTACTGCATAAGTAGCAGACAAAACATCTGTACATCTTCTCTTATACATCTTGTATTTATTTTTCAGCTGTCGTTAAACTCAGAGCCTCACCAAAAACCAGTTCCAAGGAACACAACGCCAAACCCATTCCATCTCCACACAGAGGTATGATAATTCAATTCCTAAAGCATTAGTAATTCAGTGATGCATGCAGTCTGCTTGTAACCTGCTCATTGATTTTGTGTTTACGTAATGATCAGGAAAGAGGGGCCGAGAAAGAAAGGAAATTCATTACTGAAGTCTGGCACAGGCAATTGGAAGAAGAAAGAGCGAGGGTTCCCAAAGCTAACCCATATCCTTATACCACTGATTACCCTGTGGTACATATATCTATCAATTTGTTTTTTGAGTTCAATTCATTGTTTTAAAAGGCTCGCCTCAGGGCGCGCCTAGGTGTCCTCTGAGGCTGGGCGGAGGTTGCCGCTCTGTTTTGAGGGAGTGGGCGGAAGGCTTCGCTGGAGCTTCCTAGGCTGTGCTTAGGGTGATCATTGATTAATAATCTTTTTTTTTTTTAATATAATTTATGTGTATGCTCAGTATATATTAAAAAATTTAGGTCCCGTGAGACTTCGCCCACGCCTAGCCCGGGCTATCCCTCGGACGCCTCGCCCACGCCACACTTTTAATTCATTGGTTCAATTACATGCAATTGGAACAAAAATGGTGAAATGATGGTCCCTAAATCCTGTTGTTTTAAATGCAGATCCCACCCAAGCCAGAGCCTAAGCAATGTACAAAACCGGAACCTTTCCAGCTGGAGAGTTTAGTGAGGCATGAGGAGGAATTGCAAAGGGAAATGGAAGAAAGACAGCGGAAGGAGAAAGAAGAAGCTCAGATGAGAGTGTTCAAGGCACAGCCAATCTTGAAAGAGTAAGCAAACTACTTTATTCATGATTTTATTGTTTGTCTTAAAGAGATGAGGGACTGATAACCCTTTGTTTTGTAATGCAGGGACCCAATTCCAGTTCCCGAAAAAGAACGCAAGCCTCTCACCCAAGTTCAAGAGTTCAATCTCCATGCTGATCATCGAGCTGTTGATAGAGCAGAATTTGATCACAAAGTTAGGGAGAAAGAGATGATGTATAAGAGATATAGAGAAGAGAGCGAGGCAGCAAGAATGGTAAGCGTCATGCTTTTTATACGTACTCTTTGCTGCATAGTTGTTGGGAACTTGCATGATTTAAACTGACATATACTCCGAAATGTTGTCAACTATCTGCAGGTGGAAGAAGAGAAGGCACTGAAACAACTCAGAAGGACATTGGTACCCCATGCAAGGCCAGTGCCTAATTTTGAGCATCCTTTCCTTCCCCAAAAGTAAGGAATTGTAAATATTCCAGATTGCATTTTGAGTGCTGCATTATTTCCATGACTGGTTGATCAAATGGTGTATTTCATGACATAATAGGTGTCCTAAGGAAGCAACAAAACCGAAATCACCATATCTACGTGTGCTCCAACGGAAAGAGAGGCGAAAAATGGTGATCAACTCTGCGGTTTCCAGCGCAGCGGCACAGATGCGATGATTGTTTCCCTTCCCTACGCGGTAGTTTGTTCAAGAACTCTTGAACCCTGTACAAGGGCCGTTCGAGTACATGTAGTTATTGCTTAACTAGCAGCATGAATCTACCAATTCTTGTATCAATGTCAATCCAATGTGTAATGCTTTCAATATTACTTGTGTAATTTCTTTTACTAATCAATGTAAAACCTCCTCCACCCCCTTCATCAAAGATTTCTAGAATCAGAATCTAACAACTTTGTTGCTTCAGAAGCTTCATTTTAGGTTGTGCTTAGTGTTATTGCTGTTGAGGGTTCGATTTCGGTTTTGATGATCATGTATCTCGGCTTTATTTCGCACGTCCAGCCCAAATACGAAATTTTTTAGTCCTGAGGATGCTGGCAAGGGGCCAGTACATCACGTGTTATAATACAAGTGGTTGGATACTTGAAAAAAAAAAAAAAAATCAACCACTTGTATTATGACATTTAGTGTGTGGGGGTAGTGTTATCGGCACACTGCAAATGATCATGTTGTATCTCGGCTTCATTGCGTACGTCCAACCCAAATACGAAAATTTTTAGTCCTGAGGATGCCGGCAAAGGGCTAGTACACCACGTGTCATAATACAAATGGTCGGATACTTGAAAAAAAAAAAAATCAACCACTTGTATTATGACATTTAGTGTGTGGGGTAGTGTTCTCGGCACAGTGCAAATGACGTAGATACATGGCCAAATGGATTGAAGAGGAAATAGACCGTTGGAAGACAAAAGAACACAGTGAGAATTTGCAGAATCGGCCACTGACTTCGATTTAGGTCCATGATACCTTTTCGGAATGGAAACAACACCATGGTTCAAAGTCACAACTCTTCCATGACATAAGATGGTTTTTAGCCATTCGAGGCCGTGTCAACCTCCAAACCGCAACTTTAGTTTCCATAATAAAAATCAGAGCTTTCAATTTCCGTCCAATAAATATTAATTATGTTTTAATTTTCTAAACTTTTGAGTTGTCTAATGGAGTTGTAAATGACTTATTTAAGCCTTGGATGTTATCATTATAGTCAACTCCTCAATTAATCAAATTATCTTTTGGAATTTCTATCAAACTGGTGGATTCACAACTTTGGTCTTGAAGGATTTACGTTTGTAATCCTTTGTCAGAAAAATTTCTCTTCAGGAACGAAACACGTTCCTCCTGCTTCACCACCACCATTTCCGTGTTTCTGTTTCGCATTTGAAGCTACCACGAAGAAACAACAGTCCAGGTTTTCATCAACTTCCGTCAGCATGGAACACAGAATTCTGCTTCACAGGAAGCCTTTAAAACTTGACGGGGCTCTTAAGAACTGTTAACTAAAGGATGGTTTAATATAAATAACAATCCAACCAAGTGTTTTACGGAATCGAGAATACAACAAACAATGTCTCAACCGGGGATCAATGCATCCCGGTATCAATCTTCGACTGCATTTACAGTAACTCTCTTGTCAACAGCGAATACAACAATTTTCTCGTCCGCATGCATTTGGCTGGTACCAAAATTTCATTCCTAACTAATCTCCTTCCGCCTGTATGCGAGAATCTGAAAAGAAGTAGAAGATAGTAATTTAGTACGATCATAAAGAATGATCGCCTGCCAGACAATCGTAATGGTATTTCATGTTGTCACTTCACAGAAGGGATTGCCTATTCGTACACGATTAGTGTAATCAACACTCTTCATTCACAGTTTTACAGCATAATACACGATTCTCTAGCAAGAGAAAACTACTCCTACCGTCATTACTAGCAAACTAACGCAGTCAAGTAGTACTCTGCACAGTTCAAAACAGTCAAATATAATGCAAAAATGGATGTCGGAGTGTTCCTCATGGTTAAATCAGAGAGGAAAATTCAACCAGCGAACGCATTTTGTTACTTGCTCAAACGCGTATTATTGTAAAGTTTGACAAAATCTTGGCGATCTCTGTCATTCGCAACCAGTGCACACAAAAAGTAGAGATCTTAAAAGAGCTTGTCTACTCACCAAATGGTCCCTGCTGGAAGTGCAATTGGCTCTGATCCTTCCCAAAGTTTCTTCTTCTTGCAGAATTTGCAGTTCATATCTGCATGGATCTGTTAGAAATGGCACAGAATCCGGATCATCAATTAAGGGCGCCAGGTTTAGGTTCAATTTCTTGTCATTGGAACTGGAAGGCCCTTTAACTGCCAATAATTCAACTTCCTCAGCCCTCAAAGGCGTCTGGTGAGACACATACTGTACAGAAAATATGCACGTAAAAATTACACAGGCACCGGAGATATTGTGTAATGTAGAACAAAACCAAAGAATGAAGAGCGGTAAACTAACATTTCCACATTGAACAAAAATCCTACCAAATCTAAGGCTAGTCAGAGTTTCAAATGAATCCGGTCTATATGCTTTATCAATTGTATGCAAACAAATATTCCGGCACAAGATGAGGTAAAGAGGCATGACAAGCAAGTTTCACAGACAAGACGTTATAATTCTCATCCAAACACGCATAAGAACAAATTATGCATACTACATACTCAAAGGAAGTCTAACCAATGAAGTTTACATCTTTAGAAGTTTAAGGTTAGTAATATCAGGAGAATAATCTTACTTCACACAGGTGCTTCACTGACAAACTCGGCCGACAGGAAAGGTGTGGCCGCTGTAAACTTGGTGTACAACTTGTATCCAAAGAAATAAGCATGAGATGAACATCTAACTGCAGAAAAGAATTATTTCATCAAAGTGGATACAAAACAACGAAAACAGAAAGCAATACCGTTTCTAATTTGGTCACTGTGGTGCTCAAAGAAGTATCTCATTCCATCTGCACCCGAGAAACTAAAACTCAGCAAGAGTACTCCCTGGGTGGCACATGGAATTAATGGAATTACTAACGACGAAACAAATAGTCCAGCGGTGTTTCCCTATACCTCATCATTGTTTTCCTCTAAGCTCTGGAGATAATCAACCAACTTTGATATGCGAGTACTCTCGGAATTCTTACTGTTGCAACCACTAGCAATGCCACGCCGTGTGTGACTTCGAGCACTACCCCGCCCCCAAACAAGCATTTCAGAGCTCCAGATAACACCAGGTGAAATTCCACGGTTCTCTCGTTTCCCTTCTACATCATTTTCAGTGCATCCTCCACTTGAATTGGCCAGAGATGCAGGAGGCTGAGAGGATCCAAATCCTGCCCGTCTTCTCCGCTGTCTTGGCCTAAGTTCAATACGCCGGTCATCAGTGGAAGATGAATTGTTGCCCTTGGTATTATTGTCATTGTTATTATCATCCTCAGTGGCTCGAGAGTTCCGTTTCCTCAAAACAGAACTCCGATCATTGAGCCGTGGTCTCATAGGAAATGAATCTGACATATCTTTTCCAGATGTGCGTCTCTTAGTTAGAGCTTCTGATTGTTGTTCAAAAACTTTGGCAATTGATGCTTGAATCTGTATTAAGGCATTAACATGGCACCAGGAACAAAGTTGTCAGTAAGCACCTATTTAGAGAACCAAAAACCAAAAAACAAACAACAATAAGAAAAATAAGGGAAGGTCATTTCGACTTTGCTCCATTTCCTTGTTCCTTGGCTTTCTTTGGGCGAGGTTTCTGCTTAATAGTTTGAAGAGAATTTCTGACTGATGAAACCACATACTATTTACAGTACTGGAGAACATATTTCTTGAGTAGTGGCATGTCCCAAGAAAGATGATACGCGGTACTTCATGATTGAAATTGTCAGCGAAGAAAACACCACCATCCAAATCTAGGAAGAAAACTTTTACCCAAAAAAGAAACTAACCTGCTCGTTTCGAGTCCTCTCCTCCTGATGGAAAGACAATTCCTGAAACCATGCTGCAAATTTAATTCTCCGTTTGCAAAACCATTATTAGACTAGAGTCATCTATATGAAGTTAAAATTCATTGTAACGACACTAATTTGAAGTATCCCTCTCTATTTTCTGTGTGTCAAAGTGCTACCAAACATAAAAAACAACAGCTAAATTTATACCTCCTCCTCATACTTCTCAATATCCGGATATAAAGCTGCTATTAGGGCATCACAGTTTGGATCGTCTCTCAATGAACGCCGACTTGCACAGTGTGCGCGACAAGCAGGACACTCGTTGTTCCTGAAATTATATATCAAGCTAAATAAATAAACTTGATTGGTTCTCAACTCGTATTCTAATATATTTTTCATTCTATTGATCAGAAAATCAAATGCCACTGTTACAAAAAATAATAAAAAGTTAAAGAGGGAAAGAGCTCAACATTACATACCCCAATCGCATTGACTTGTCGATACATTCCCTGCAAAACCTGTGTAGGCATCCCATTACAGTACGTGTTTTTTTCATAATTCCTGTCCAGGAGAAGAAATTTATCAATGTTTGTTTACTAGATTGATACCCCGTTATGGATAGCACAGAAGAGGAAATGTAAGCAAGCAACAAGAGAAGAAAATACAAGGCGAATCACAGTTTTCTTCTTTAACAAGATCATGATAACATAGTAATTTACCAGAACCACTACAAAAATAACACTTTTAGAGAAGTTGAGGTTGCTCGTATTGATCCTCTGGACATATTTCACAACAAATATTATTAGTGAAGATGCTGGCTAGGTGGAAAGTGAGGTCCAGGAAGCTTGGGAATAATCGAACTTGAATACCTTTACTTCCTTTTCTTTGGAATGAATCAATACTTCAATAGTCATAGTTTCAAGGTTCTAATCAGCCAAGCAGCAGCACAAGTATGTGTGTGCTTTCTACACACTTGAGCTCCCATTCTTCCACACCAATATATCTTTTATTATTTAGATCTTAGAAACTATTCATTACTTAATAGTTTTCCTACACGTACGCCTAAGCTATCTTTATTTCTAAAAAGTGGGACGTCACTAAGTACTGAAGGTTTCATAAACCAAGAAAAATGAGGTGTAATGTAAGGAGGCAGGTTTCCCACCATCTGTCGATGGCGTGTCATTGCTAAACCATAGATCACCGAGGTTTTCTCCCTTCTTCAACTCAAGTCACACCCTACTTAGGCTTCCCCTTGCTCACTTATAGGCTAAATCAAATACTGATAGTTGGTTTTGGTATTAGATAGCCCTTGTTTCCAGATGCAGATTATTCTTGGCCGGAAAATATCGTGGTTGACAAGATGAACGATATATGGAGCCAACTTGCAGTCCCTAAATAGTTTGCCTCAAAGGATACCACATTGCATTTTATAGTGTGAAGACTACAAAGGACACTATAACAATTGGCAGTTAACTACTTAATTATAGGCAACTCAATCTCTACATCACTGAGAATCCATGCCAAGAAATGCGGGCATGCAATGCAACAACAAGAACCGAAATGCATAGCAAAATTAGCAGTTAACCACCATTGAAATGAAAAGTGAATTAATAATTTTGTTATGTGTATATGTGTGTGTAGTACATCTTAGTGCAATAATCCCTAAAGCAAGCAACACTCATGTTTTCTGGGCAGAAACAAAAGAGAAAAAGGATATGTACGCCACGAGGGGGAAATCTTCATCAGTTGAGTCCAGTGAGTGAACACATAGCAATTTTAAGCTTAAAGCATTGCATTTCATTCAAACTCAAAAGGTTGAGAAGCAGAAGTTACCGAGACATATTGGACAGTGTAAGTCTTTACGGAGTTCTTGCAGTTGTATGAATATCAATCTGCAAGGGCACAAGAAATACGTGGAATTGTTTCTCAAAAATATAGAAAAAGGTGCAAAATTTCAAAGCATATATAGCACTAGTTGGACGATACGCAATAACAGTTTGCATTACTCGAAAATAGAAAATCGGAAAACTAGCCCCCGCCCTGTCGAATTTTAATATATCGACGCATGCAAGCACAAAACAAGGCTCAGATCCCAACATGCAACAATCACTGGACCATTATATTAAGCAGAACCATAACTTGGTAATAGCTAATTTGACAACCGACGACGATCCAACATTATCGAAACCAACTTTCATCTTTTACTATAGACGTCGAAAACCGATCATCATTCAACCCATGGAGC